AACCCAAAGCAAGTAGAAAGGAAGGATACAAGAAACATAAGAACAGAAACCTGATTAAATGATAAAAATAATCAATGAAACAAAAAGGTGGTTCTTTGAAAGATCAATAAATTGACAGACCTCTAGCCAGACTGACAAAGAAAAAAGGGGAGAAGAAGGAAATTACTACCTTCTGGCATGGAACAGAGGCTGGCATTGCACTCCCTGAAGCCGGCAGAAGGGCAATAAAAAATTAGGAACAACTCCACGCACATACACTTGACAACTCACTTAGATGTAACAGCCCAATCCCGGAAGAGCACGAACTACAACAACTCTTTCAATATGAAGTAAACATTTTGAATGGGAAGTGGAGTTTATCAGTTCATAAACAATAAATCTCCAGGCCCAGATGGTTTCACTGGAAAATTCTACCAAGCCATATAAAAAAGATTAGCAGCAATCTACATGATCTCTTTCAGAAAAATAGAAATGCTTCCCAAATCATTTTATAAAGCAAGTATTATCCTTATACCAAAACCAGACAAAGAGGATACAAGAAAAAAGAAGATTACAGACCAATATTTCTCATAAATATTGACACATACATTCCTAACAAGACATTAACAAGTAGAATTCAACAATACATGAAAATAAGTATTACCATGACCAAGTTGGGTTTATTCCAGTAATGAAATGCTGGTTTAATATTAAAAAATTAAGCAATGTAATCCATAATACTAATAGCCTATGAAAGGAACGCCATATAATCATATCAATTGATGTAAAAAATGTATTTGACAAAATTAACATTCATTCATGATACAATTCTCAGCAAACTAGGAACAGAGTGGATTTTCCTCAACTTGTCAAATAGCATCTGCAAAAATTCTACAACTAACGTCTTACTTGGTGATGAAAGACTGGATGCTTTCTCCTAAGCTTGGGTACAAGACAAGGATGCCCATTTTTACCACTTCTGTTCAGCACAGTACTGAAAGTCCTATCTAGCACAATGCAGAAAAGAAAGGAAATAAAAGACACATATGTATGGAAGGAATAAAACTGCTCCTATTTACAGATGGTATGATGGTCCTCGTAAAAACCCTAAGGAATTTCAAAAAAAAAAAGTAAAAACACCTAAAACTAATATGCAACTTGCAGGATATAATACAAATTAATACAAAATCAATTGTATTTCTATATACTTATAAAAAACTCTTTGGTGGAAACCTAACAAATATGCACAGGACTTGCATGCTGAAAACTACAAAGTATTAAAAAGAGAAATCAAAGATCTCAATAAAAAGAGAGACATACCATGTTCATGGATTAGAAGAGTCAATATATTAAAGTGGTTAATTCTCTAAAATTGACATATATGTAGTTCTAAAAGAATTTCTAACAAAATCCCAGCAAATTTTTGGTAGAAATAGACAAAATTATTCTAAATTTATATGAAAAACCAAAGTAAATAGCATCACTAGAACAATTATAAAAACAAAGAATAAAATAGGAAGAGTCACTTTACCAAATGTCAAGATTTATAATGTAACTACCTTAATCAATGGTGTTCTTGGCAGAAAGAGAGACACATAGATCAATGGAACAGAATAGAAGACCCAGAAATAGCCTCACATGGGTATCAACAGATATTTGATATAAGTGCAAAGCAATGCAGTGAAGGGACGATGGTCTTTTAAAAAAAAAATGGTGCTGGAGCAATCGATATCCAAAAGCAAAAAAACAAAAAACAAAAAACAAAGGTCTTGACCTTATACAAACACTAAATCAAAGTGGATCACACATTTAAATGTAAAGTGTAAAACTATAAACTATTTAAAAGATACCATAGGAACCCTCCTTTGGGGCCTGGGGCTTGGTGAAGAGTTCTTAGACATGACAGCAGAGCATGATCTATAAAAGCAAAAGGTCAATAAATAGACCTCATCAAAATTAAAACTTTTGCTCTGCAAATGACCCAGTGAAGCGGGTGAAAAGACACACTATACACTGGAAGCAAATATTTGCAAACTATTCATCTGGTAAAGGACTCATATCTAGAGCACACAAAGAACTCTGAAAACTCAACATTTTAAAAAATCAAATAGAAAATGGGCAGAAGGCATGAAGAAGAATGTGGATGGAAAACAGGCACATGACTAGCCATTAGGAACAAGAAAATTAAGGCCACAATGAATTTTCCTTACGTACCTATGGGAACAACTGAAAGAAAATGCTGGTGAGGGTGGTGGAGAATGGGATCGCTCTAGTGGGAATGTAAAATGCATAACCACTGTGGGAAACAGTTTGACAGTTTCCTAAAATGTTAAACACGCAATACCATGTGACCTGGCAACCACTCCTAGGCATTCATCCCACTGGGATGAAAGCTTTGTCCACAGAAAACTTGGTTATGATTGTTCACGGCAACTTTACTTGTGATTGACAAAAACTGGAAACAACCCTAACATTCCTGGATGAATTGTGAATTGTTAAACTACAGCACATCTATACCAAAGAGTTTTACTCCGCAATTGAAGGGAATCACTGTTCATGCTGCTGAATGAAATAAGTCTCTAAAGGTCACACACTGTATGGCTCCATTTATATTCCATAAATGGAGATAGAGGACAGGTTAGGGAGGCCAGGGGTTAGGTTTTGGGAGGGGGGCTGGTGAGTGAGGGGCAGGTGTGGGTATAAAGGAGTATCATGAGAGAGATCTTCTTGGAGAGGAAACAGATCTTTGTGGTAATAAAAATATCAAAACAAATTTTACAGCTACACAGAAAATATTTCATCAATCAAAGAAGAACAGAATCTATAAAAAAGGAGCAATCAGAGGAAGAGCCTGGGTGGGAGTGGGAGAGAAGATAGATCTATAAAACTTTTAAAACTGCATCGGATGGGCTTGGAAGATAAAGTAAAATAAAAATCATTAAAAAAATTAGAGTAAAAAGGCAAAGAGGAGTAGAGAGTATATAAGGAATAAAAAAGAATACAACTGTAGAATAAATCTGAGGAATTCGACATTCAGAATGAGGACAGAGAAAGCGAAGGAATGAGCCCACCCTGGCCTCCCTCCCTGACTCCCTTGCTCCCTTCTCTGTGACAAACGACAGGGAAGTGACTCGTCCCCAGCCCTGGACTGTGTGAAGGCCTCGGAACACTTGCTTCAGGGCTGCAGGCCTCTAAGTAGTAACAGCAACCAGAGGGCCCTGGACCCCCAGCTCCATGGGCTGTGTGGCCTTAGGGTCTTGCAAGTCAGATAAAAGCAGAGGTAAACCACACAGCCGGAGAGAAACCTGCCTGCAAGGAACCCACAGGTCGTCAGAGTCCTCGCGGACTGACTCATGAAGAGCACAGCTAATTCCACTCAATGAAAGGCGTGGGAAATGTGCCAGGGCCTCATGGACTCTCACGCCGCTCAGGTACTTGAAGGTAAATAAAGGGGACAGGAAGAGGGAAACGTGTTTGGACTTGGAGCGTTCCGATTTTCAATCTGGAGGCTCAGGTTCAGCCAGAGGAGAGTCGTAGGTCAGCAGGAGAACACACTGAGCTGTGAGTGATGGGCGATCCGGAAAGCTGAGTCAAGGCGGTGAGTAACTTGAGAGCCTGCAGGAAGGCAGGGCTGGCTTTGGGCACTTCTCCCCGAGCACCTCGGCCTGCAGCCCATGGCCTTCCTCCCGCCTCCCAGTCAGCCTGGGACCCCGGACTCGCTGGCTAAGGGTGTTCAGTGCTGTGAACTCTGTGGCGTTGTCCAGAAAGAGGCTATCTCAGAAAAACCCACTCCCCATTCAGACCACAGCTTCAGGGTAACAAGTCCATGGGCCTTCCAGGTGGGGTCTTTCTTCATGACAGAGTAACCTGCTCTCCCTCACAGGGGTCCTCACCCCAGTTCTTGTCGTGGTCATTAGCACACACTACCCTTCACTTTTCCCACTGGAACACAACATCACGTGTTACATCTTTTACCAGAAAAAAAAAAGGACATGCTGATTTTTAGTTATTTAAAATGTTGACTTTTTATTTTGAAATAATTATAGATTCGTGGGAATCTGAAAAGTTGGCACAGAGTCCCATGGAGCCGTCATGCACCTCCTGCTGGTTACATCTTACCTCACTGCGGAGCAAAGCTCAGACCAGAGGCTGGCAGGCACAGCGTGTGCAGTTCTGGGCCATTTCATGACGCGTGTAGGTTCTGTAACCAGCCCCAGGCTGTGCTCTGAGAGCAGGTGGGAGGGGGAATGGGGTCCTCGCTCCCTGGGGTTCCCCTGTTTCAGCCCAGCCCGCAGACTCAAGGGCTCCCAGGGGTCCCCACGGTCCGCACCCTCTGCAAGTCCAAGGTGCAGCTCCTTCCACGTTGCTCAGGCAGCGTCCGCCTCTCCCCCAGGCTTCCTCTCCAAAAAGTTTCCTGAAGGTCTGTCCCCGAGTCTCCAGTCCATTCCCTCGTCCCTTGGCCTCCAAACCTGTGCACTTATTGCCACTCTAGTGGGTTTTCAGGAAGGAGACTGTGTCCATGCAATGTCTCAGCTGGAGAGCACTGGCATTTAAACACGGAAAGCATTCTCCTTTCAACAGTGACAGCAGCAAAGCCACCCCTTCCTCGACCACTTCCTCCTCCCGACCTGCGGTTTTCCTCTTTCTAAAGTTTCTATTTCTTCTCTCTCCCCAGTCCACTCCCATTTGGCTTGGATCCACTCCTCCAACCAAAACGTCTCTGGCTACTGTCACCAAGGCCTCCAAGTTGCTGAGCCACCGCCCTTTGCTTTCCCGGTGGCCCCTCTGCCGACTGAGCGTGCTGACCACACTGTCTGGAAGGCCTTTCCTGGCCGCCGCCCCTCCTCTCGATGCTCCCTCGCTCCCCTTTGTAGGTACCCCTGGCTCTCAAGAGACTCACCTTCCCCTGGACACAGACAGCCTGTGGTGATGGCCAGAGGGAAGGGGCAGGGACGGGTGGAAGTGGGCGAAGGGAGGGAAAATGGGGAATCTGTAATAGAGTCAACAATAAAACTAAAATTAAAAAAGAGAGAGGCTGGCCTTTGGCTTCCCCATGGCTGGATCCGGGCCTTCTCCATCTTAATTTCCATGACGATAGCACACAAACGCCCCTCCCCGCCCCTCCCTTCACACTGCGGCCTGGAGGACCTTTTCAAAGTACAAACATGACGGCATCTCTTCCCCTTCCTGGCTCCTCAGCTCCGGGGCAGAGCACACTCTTTCGTGGCATCGTGCCCTGTGGATCCTGGCTCCCGCTCACACCCAGCTCACACCCAGCTCACACCCAGGTCGCACAGCTCTCGCCTCTTCACACGGCAGCCTCCTCCTGCCACGCTGCTGCCTCCCCCGGGGCCTGAGCACATGCACGACCCCCGCAGTGTCCGCCGTCCTCCCCGTCTCATGAGACCCTACATACACCTTGGCTTCCACGAAGGGGCCCTCCCTGCAAGACGCCCTCCTTGTGCACCTCATTCACTCCTCCTGGCAATCGAAGGGATAAACGCTCCCCTAATTCCTCCCCTGCTCCTCCCCCCACCCTCCCCACCACCCCGGACTCCGCACCTGCCCCCCAACCCCCACCCTGGTCATCCAGAGGCTTGGACCTGTGGGGATCAGCAGCATGTCCTGTGGTTCTGCCCCCGGAGTGGAGGTGCTCTCTTCTCCAGCGGAGAGGGGCACAATCTACGGTCCCTCTCGCAGCTGCTTGGAATGAAGGCAGTTTCTCACTCCCTTTGGGGGATTTCTACTTTTTCCAAGAAGTGATATTTTTATTTTGCGTAAGTCAAAAGCATATGTCATGGCAGTGCGCCCTCAGGATGAGTGTTGTGGATCTACCCTGGCTGCCACGGCCGCCGCCCCCCCCCACCCCCCGCCCGGCTGGGGCCTGGCACCCACAGCTGGGCCTGGTGCTCACCTGGGGTGAAGCCGGGGGCACAGAGGAGCTCTGCTTGAATTTACAGCCTTCCAGGGGCAGGAGGGTTTTACTCACTGAGTTAGAGTGCTGGGCAGTTGATGGCCAGTATAGGCGATGTGGGGGAGGGATTGCGGAGGAGGGGTCTGCGCTCTTGGGAAACAGCCGGCCCCTGGACGCTGGGGAAACGCTGGCTCGGCAACTCTGTGGTCCTGAAGCTCAGTGTCCCCTGAGAGAAGCATGGAGTGTGCATGCATGCATGCGCGTCTGCACGCGTATAACTGTGTGTACCTGTGTGTTCATGCATGTGCATGTGTCTGCGGGTGTATCTGTGTGTGTTTGCATATGTGTCAGCATGCGTGGAGTAGAGTTCCCAGGTGCAGACCACTCTGCCCTCCACGGGCTGAGATTGAAGAGCCGCCCCGTTGCCCTCCTTGGTTAGCAGTTGTCTCAGACGCCGGGGAGGCCTGACAATGATTTCTGACTGGCTTATGCCAGTTACCACTTTGGTCTCTAATACGTTCTCCCCATTTTCTATTAGCTGTGTTATTAAGACAATTTGAGAGGAAACCTGTCTTATCTTCCTCACTTTCAATCTCATCTGGTTTGGTTCAAGGAAGCACAGTATTCTCTGTGTTGACCTAGAGTTTTTAAATACTCCCGTCGGCGTTTGTGTCGCACAGCCTGAGCTTGCGGGGCAGAGACTGGGGCTCACCAGCTGAAGACTGGGCCCCCTGGGCACTGAGGAGCATCGGTCCCACTCCAGCTCCTGCGCCAGTCCCCACGAGCTGACTCTCTTAAAGACACACACCGCCTTAAAGACACACACCGCCACAGCCTCCAGGCCTGGTTTCCTGCTCCGTCAGGGAGAGAATAAATGCCAGGGCCTTAGAAAGAACCAGTAGAAAGGTCTCGGACAAAATGCGCCCGCTCACTCCTTTCCTCCCTCCCACTCATCTGTAGCGGTGCCAAGCCCAGAACTGGCACTGGGGGCCCAGAGAATAGAACCCAGCAGTGTCCCCTCACCTAGTGGGGAGGCTCAGAGAGGAGGCCCCGGAGAGCCGCCTGGGGGGAGCTCAGCAGGCCCAGGGGTGAGGCTGCCAGCAGCCTGGGACTCGGGGCTCCAAAGGGTCCTTGCAGGATGGTAAGGGCAGACATTTAGTACCTGGAAAATTTCCCTGCCCTACGGATGGCAGGTAAAGGGAGGCCACGCTTCTCTTCAGCCTGAAGCTGAAATTGCTTTTAGCTCAGAGGACCCTGCACCCCACTGAGGCACAGCTCATTCTGAACCCCAAAGTTCCCTCCTCCGAAACCTCCCTGGCAGCTTCCCATTCCAAAAACTGGCCGGTGGAGCTTTCTATCAGCCCAGTCTCAGCCTTGAGAAAAGTTCGGTGCGATGAAACAGTCGTCTCTCACGGCGGGAGGCAGAGATGCCGCGGACCCCAAAGGTGAGCCAGGGAGCAGGCACCCAAGTGTTTCCCGGGAGGCGAAGAGACCGAAGCTTTCCCCCCTGACGCTGCCTCTCGGGGGTATTGACTTCAAGCTGTTGTTTAGAAACAAGGCTCAGAAATAAATGTTGACCCTTCCCCCTTCCTGCCCAAGAGACTCAGGAAGAGAAACCTGTTTCGGGAAGGAGGTCCTAGGATGGACGCTGCCTTCCCCGAATTTGCGGTAAGCCTGGAAAAAGAGAGAAGGCTCCAGGCAGGCCCGGGAGCTGACGCCCACTGTGTCCCATTGCTTCTAGTCTCCTGCAGGGCTTTCCTGCCATGTCTTCTGCTTTCCCTCAACTCCCCGTAATCAGCCCTTCTCCCTTCTGAAGTCTAATACCCCGTCCTCCTTTCTTCTTTGTCCGAAAATGCCTTCTATACCCAATTTTGCCTGGTCTTTGGCATTTTCATGGATGTATCATGTCTGTGAATTCTCGTGTACAGGTATTAAACTTTGATTTTTCTCCTGCTAATCTGTCTCTGTTAATTTGATATTTAGCCCAGCAAGAGGACTTAGAAGGTAGGAGAGAAAGTATTAATATGTTTTTAGCCCCCACATGGAGGCATCTCTAGGGAAAAAAGAAGAACAGAGGTGACCATTACTGCAGTGTTTGAGCTCTGAAGGCAGGCAGTCAAGGAGATTGCTAGATGTCTGTCCATCGCCTTCTGAGGGAGCGCGGCAGGCAGTGGCAGCCTTCAGTCCTCCTGACCTGCAGGGTGACTGTCTCTGCAGCTGCATGAGGAGTGGCCACCATGAGCTGCGGGGGCGACTGCTGAGGTCGCAAATAGAACATTTACTAGGCAGCTCAGGAGCCACTTTAGCTTTCCTGGCCTTGGGGAATAGTCCGTGACTTCAAATCCATGGGTGATAACATACAAATGTTAGTTTGGAGGGTTCAGCCAAATATTGAAGAAAACTAGAAACATTCAGGATACAGTTCAGCTTATAGGTATAAAATTTAAAAACACACACGAAACTTAAAAGACGATGAGCCTAATATCCCCAATGTATTGTGGGGGCTAAAAAATAGTAGTAATTTTCCTCCCACCTTCTAAGTTCTTCAGCTGAGCCAATCATCAAATGAACAGAGACCGATTAACAGGAGAAAATCAAAGTTTTAATACAGGTGCATGGGGAAATCACATAAGCATGAAAATTCCAAAGACAGTGAGGCAAAGTTGGGTACATAAAATATTTTTGGACAAAGGAGAAAAGGGAGGGAGAGGTATTAGATTTAAGAAGCGAGAATGGGAATTTGCAGGGAGTTGACAAAGAGCAGGACATGCGTGGCAGGAATGCTTTTGCCAGGCAACTCAGAAACTTAGGACCCGGCTTATCCAGCTACTGATGGAGTCTTCCTGCTGGGGGGCAGGTCTTAGGCCAAAGCTTTCTGTTACAGCAGGTTTCTCCTCTGAGTCTCTGAGGCAGGAAAGGAGAGAGGGTCAAAGGTTCTTTCTGAGTCTTGTTTCTTAAAAAGCAGCTTGAAATCAGTATCCCAAAGGGCAGCTTCAGGGTGGCAAAACTTGGGTTCCCTTCAGTTCCACCTTTGAAACGTAAGTAAGTTTTACATTCCAGAAGCGGAATTGGCGGACTGCTCCGTATTTCATTGATTCAGTCATTCAGTGCTGAGAGTAAGTCAGTTCAGTTCATCTGTAGAGTCTCATTTCAGGAGGCAGTGAACTGAGGCCTGTAATGTGTAGGCAAGCAGGCAGGTTTGCATAAGAGGTCTGACTATGAAAACAGAAATAACCAGAGGTTAGTGGTCAGAGCAACGTAGAAACCAGTCTCTGAGTGTGTAAGGCCGTGCGTGGAGGAGATTGCTAGCTGTAAAGCTGAGCTTCTTTTGCTGGAACGAAGGAGGCGGGAGTGACAATCAGCTTCCCCTGGTGTGTGGCTTTCATCTCTCTGATGATGTCATCGGGTGCCAGGTAAATTCTCCGCATGGCTTACCCAGCATCACCCTGAGGTTGTTTAAGCATAAGTTGTTGTGGCTTCTTTGAAGTTTATATTATGTTGATTCATAAAAAAAGTGCTAGTTCTCAATAATTTCAAGTCAAAGGATGGGAGAAAAATGAAACATTCGTTTGAAGGGTTATAGCCAAATATGTAAGAAAACTAGAAATATTCAAGACCCAGTCCAGTTTATAGGTTAAAAAAAAAGCTTTACAGACAATTGATAACTGGAATCTAATATCCACAACTGCACATCAGCAATAGTTCAAATAAAAGTTATAAAATCACCCTCAGTTTTAGCAACGATAGCTAAATTAACATTAACTTACTTAATTTACTGTATAAGTCTAGTTCCAATAAATTTGGCCTGATTACCTGCATAAATACAAGCACAGCAATACATCATATAGGCTTCTTCAAATCTGCTTTGCTGGAATTTTGTAAGGAACCTCCGGATTGAACTTTAATTAGCTTCGTGAGGCTAAGCAGCCAAGCACAGCGTTACCATCAGCCTTTGTCTGCAAGGCTATAGGCTTGGGTGAGTTCCTCAGGGTCTCAAGCTCCCCAGGATGCCC